ACTGATTTACTTATATATTGTTGGAAAAATGTGAATTCATGCATGTATATTAAACATGTAAGGGTAACCAACATAAATAAAATGAAGTGTGTAAGTTTTAAAATAGTAGAAGAAAAAAGATGAAACAGAAAACTTAATCAGTCCAACAAAAGGCAGGAATGGAAGGGTGGATAAAATAGCTAGAACACATTATAAATAGAAAATAAATAAGATGCCATAAATAGTTCCAAACAAATCTATAATCAGAAATGTGACAGAGGTGCTTCTGTGGAATATATATACAAATATAGCCATATACTTTATTTTTCTCTTCCAAGTTTTAAAATTCCAGTTAGTTAACATACAGTGTAATATTAGTTTCTTTCAGGTGTAGGATTTAGTGATTCATCACTTACATACAACACCCAGTGCTCATCACAATAAGTGCCCTCCTTAATACCTATCACCCATTTAACCCATTCCCCTGCCCACCTTCCCTCCAGCAACCCTCAGTTTGTCCTCTATAGTTTATAAAGAGTCTGTTTTATGGTTTGCCTCTCTCTTTTTTCCCCCCAATGTTCATCTGTTTTGTCTCTTAAATTCCACATATGAGTGAAATCATATGGTATTTGTCTTTCTCTATTTCACTTAGCATAATACTCTCTAGCTCCATCCATGTCATTGCAAATAGCAAGATTTCATTCTTTTTTTTATAGCTGAGTAATACTCCATTTCTGTGTGTGTGTGTGTGTGTATGTGTATGTGTGTATGAATATCTCTCTCCTTTATCCATTCATTAGTTGATGGACATTTGGGCTCTTTGCATTTGGCTATTGTTGATAATGCTGCTGTAAACAGAGAGGTGCATGTATCCCTTCGAATTAGTATTTTTTTTAAATATTTTATTTATTTATTTGACAGAGCACAAGCAGGGGGAGTGGCAGTCAGAGGCAGAGGGAGAAGCAGGCTCCCTGCAGAGCAGGGGGAGCCTGATGTGGGACTTGATCCCAGGACCCTGGGATTGTGACTGAGCCGAAGGCAGTCGCTTAACCAACTGAGCCACCCAGGTGCCCTCGAATTAGTATTTTTGTATTTTTTGAGAAATACCTAGTAGTGCAATTATTGGATTGTAGGGTAGTTCTATTTTTAACTTTTTAAGGAACCTCATACTATTTTCCAGAGTAGTATAGCCATATACTTTTAAAACAGAAGAGCTGAAACAATTTGACAAATGAAGGGTGAAGGTAGAAGGAAATGGGAAATATATACCAGACAAATGCAAACAAAAAGCAGATGTAACAATGCCATATAAAATAGAGTTTAAGACAAAAAGCATTAATAGGGATAAATATATTCCATATTTTTTTAAAAAAGAATAACTCAGTAAGTCCTAAGAACCATGATGCACCATATATAAAGTAAAAATTGATAGAATTCCAAGAAAGTATTGAATCCACAGTTTAAAAAGAATAGTTCTCTCAAAAAAAGTACTATCTTGAGTTTAGGGGTTGAGTTTGGCTACATGTGTAACAATACAAAACCAAATGAATGAAATAACAGCATCTTAAACAAGATAAATATTTATTTTTCTCTTACCTGCCCATGAAATTTAAAGTAAGAGACTCAGGTTCACTTATCAGGGCTGATAGCATCATTTCTACAGTGTCATTTCTCAGGCTCATCTATGCTTTCTTTTCCTGATATTTGCAGTATTCACTAAAATTGGCCATTTACTACAACTAAAAGGATATCTCAACCAGTTCTAAAAAGTTGATCTCTTTATTTACCACTATATAAAAAAACAAGTTCAACAAACAAAGCCCTCCTCTCAAAAAAGTATTTAGCAGAGGAAAAAGAAATTCACACACTTTCAAATTATTTGGGGGTTATAGAAGAAATCAAAATAAAATTTAAAAACTATTTAGAAGAATACTATAAACCAAAACCTGTGGAATGTAGCCAAATTGTTCTTCAGAAATTTGTATTTGAAAACAAGTATATTAGAAAATAAAGATTAAAATTAGCTGAACTCTAAGTATGAAAAGTTCAAAGTATGAAAAAAGCGCAACTCAAAACAGGAAAATAACAATCCAAAGAAAGTGGGAATTAATAAAGAGAAAAGCAGAAATTAATGAAATTAGAAAGTTAGGTTAATCAGTATAGCCAAAAGTTAGTAACTTTTAAATATCAATAAAATAAAATTTCAGCAAGTATAAAAAAAAAAAGAGAAGCCCCCACCTCTCAAAAGAAAAGAATAATAAGGGGAAAAAGTGCATATCATCGTACATAGGGAAGAAATGTTTTCAAGGTCCTAAGAGAATACTATGCAAGACTTTATATCAATAAATTTGAAAATTTAGGTGAGGGCGTTAATTTTCTAGGACAATATAAATTGTTAAATAGACTGAAAAAGAAAGACATGAATAGATCAATAAACTAGAAGAAATGGAAATGTAAGTGAAACTGAAATGTAAGCAAATCTCTGTTTTCCTCTTTCCTCCATTACTTACTTGCCTCCCTTCTCCCTCTGTCACACACACACACACACACACACACACACACACACACACCCCTTTCAAAACACACCAGAATCAGTTTTTCGGGTGAATTCTGTCCAACCTTTAAGGACTAAATCAGAGTTTCTAAACTGTGACACCATTGACATTGTAGACCAGATAATCCTTTTTTGTAGGGTTATCTTGTGACCTTCTAGGGGCCAATAGCACCTCCCCCCAAAGAAAAGACAATAGAAAATGTCTCCAGACATTGTCAGATGTTCCCTGGGAGGCAAAATTGCTAGTTGAGGGCAATCTCTTTATTATTATTTATTATTAATGAGCAATTCTAGAATATAGAAGTTGGAAACTAGCCAGCAAATTATGCATGGCTAATTCATTAGGTAGCAAGGACAAAGATAGTGAAAGAAAAAATTATACAGTAGTCTCAAGAATGAACATACATGTAGAAATCCAAATAAATTATTAGCAAACCTAATTTGGCACTGTAACATTAAAAAAATATGTTATGACTAGGGCGCCTGGGTGGCTCAGTTGGTTTAAGCGACTGCCTTCGGCTCAGGTCATGATCCTGGAGTCCCGGGATCGAGTCCCGCGTCGGGCTCCCTGCTCGGCAGGGAGTCTGCTTCTCCCTCTGACCCTCCCCCCTCTCATGTGCTCTCTCTCATTCTCTCTCTTTCAAATAAATAAATAAAATCTTTAAAAAAAATAAAAAAAATAAAAAAATATGTTATGACTAAACTTGGCTTTCCCAAGAATTACAATGATAGTTAGCATTAGAAAAGTCTATCAAGCATATTGACATTACATCAACAGATTAATAAATAATTTTAAATAAAGGTTTAAAATAATTTTTTTTTAAAACGTAGGGGAAACTCATACTCTTAGATATCAAAATGTTTATCATAAAATTCATTTTAAAATGTACATTTCAGTGGTTTTTAGTGTATTCTAAAGGTAGTGTAACCATCACCACTGTCTTAATAATTCCAGAACATTTTCATCATCCCAGAACATTTTTTTTTTTTTTTTAGGGTGGGAGAGAGAGTGAGCGAGCAGGGGGGCAGGAGGGAGGGGTAAAGGGAGAGGGAGAGAAAGTATCTTAAGCAGGCCCCATGCCCAGTGCAGAGCCCAGTGTGGGGCTCAATCTCACAACCCTGAGATGATGAGCTGAAATCAAGAGTCAGCCACTTAACTGACTGAGCCACCCAGGCACTCCATCCCAGAACATTTTAAAACATTATCAAAATGCAATGATTATAACAGTAAGAAAAGACAAATTGATCAATGGACTACATCAAAATAAAAAAATTCTGTGTGACAAAAGACACCAACAAAGTTAAAGAGAATGACAGAATGGATAGGAGATTGGTATACAGAATGTATAATATATAAATACTAATACAAATTAATTTTTAGGCAAAAAATAAGCAAAAGATAAAACAGTTTACAGAAAAAGTGTCACAAAACAAAAGGTGCTTGAGCTCAGGGGTACAGGGAAATGCATATTGAACCAACGAGATATCTGGTTTCCCCTATCAGATTTGCATACACTACAACATTTGATAATATCTATTAAAGTCAGCAATAGTGGGAATGTAATTTGGTGTAATTACTTTGGAGGACTGGTTCATAGTACTTATTAAAAATAAAAATGCAAATATTCGGCCATTTTAGTTCTTGGCATCTATTGTAAACAACTACTTAACTTGTACAAATACTTTTACCAGGGAGCCCATACAAAATGTATTTTGTTTAAAACATACATTGAAATTAACAACACTTATTCTTTAAGGGACAAATGTTCTTTAAGGGGCAAGGTCTTTTTTTATGATCTAAAATCACAATAAGATTACAGAATTAAGACCAATGGCTGTTATAACAAAAATAAATGGGATACATTTTCCTATTAAAAGATATTTTTATGTTGAGTCAAATAAGAAAAATCAGGAACTCTTCAAAATGAGTGACTCACGGAGAATGAATGACTTGAAACAGACAATACAAACATTAGTAAAGCAGTGGCTTAGATATTAATATTAAATAAAATTTAAAGTTAAAAATGAAATATTACCTTTTTCATACATATATAAAAAACAAAATCTCAGGTTTTAATCTTTTAACCTGCTATTTTGCTTTTTTATGTTCAGTTTAAGAGGTTATAGAGAATAGACACAAATCATTTGAGAAAATGGTAAGATTGACTTGATTAGTAATAAATACGGGATAAAAATTTTTAAGTTTATCTTAAATGTAGAAATACTACCAAGCATAGTTGTTATACTTGTCTAAAATACCAAATTCCTTAAGAGTCTTAAACTTTCCCAGTATTTGACTTAATATTTTGTATGTAGTGGTTTCAGTTAATGTTTGTAGTTGTTGTTCATATTGCTAATGATGAGGAGGAGAATGACAATGTTCTTGGAGAACCTTCAGTAGCCATGGCAAGCAAAAAATTTTTGTTATCTGTGTAGCCAGTTCTAATACTTAATTTCTTTTGTTCAGGTACTTAATGACTCTACTCTGAATAACCATTCAAAATGCTCAAATTCTGTGGCTATTAAAAATTCACAAAATATGATGCATTTCAGGTAACTTTTAAAATAGGAAAAATGTTTTAATTTCTGAAATTAATAAATCAGCAAATAATATAAAAATTTATTTATTGTATTTTAGATTGTTAACCCCACAGAGACAATCAAATTGCAGTCAGTGGTTTGAAATAGGAGATACAGGTATTTGCTGTTTATATTTTTCCTAAGAAGTGGGAGTAACAAATTATATCCAGCTTTTATACTATTTAAATACATTATTTGGATTGTTTGCCTCTCTGGTTAACTGACCATCCATGCCTGGTTTTTAAAAACATTTTTCACTAAATATAAAATATTTCATTGTGAAAGATTTGGAAAACAGAGAAAAATACAAAAGAAACAAAGATACCATCACCCAGATATAACCGACACCATCCATACTGGTATATGTTCTTGTCCTTTTTTCCTATGTATATGTGTGTTCTTTTATTTTTTTCCCCCAAATTTGAAACAGTACTATATATAATTTTGTAACCTTTTCTTTCCACTTGATATACTGTTAGAGTATTTTTCTATGCCATTAAATAGATTTTATTTTTAATGACTGTATCATATGCCATTGTAAGGATATGCTATAATTCATTTAGCCATTCTCTCAAAATATTGAATTATTTTTATATTGACTTATTTTAATTATTTAGCCATTCTTTTTCAAAACATTAACTATTTTATTGTTTCCAAGTTGGGTTTTTTTCCTAATGCTACTATATTCTTTTACATAAATCTTTCACTATCTTGGATTATTTTCTTTGAATAAAATCATAAAAAGGTCACAGGATATATATATATGTAATGTATATATAAATATATGTATGTGTATATGAGTTTATTATGCTAGAGTCAACTAGCTGTTGGAAAATTTTAAGGGTATCACACCCTTGAAAAAAACTCGTTCTATCTCTTTATGTATATATATGTATGTATATATGTACATGTAAATACATAATATATATAACATAATATGTAACATAAGACATCTCATATGTACATATACATATATACATATACTGGTAATCCAGTAATGAATAACAGTTATTCCACTTATATATATATATATATATATATTAGGCTATATAAAAGTATTCACTTCTTCTTGTCTGTATCATGTGGATTACAAACTTTTATTTTGAAGTTTTAAAAATGGCTCATTCTATTGCGTCAGTAATAAAAAGTCTCCCAACAAACAAAATCCAGGACCAGAAGTCTTCACAGGTAAATTTTACCAAACATTTAAAGAAGAGTTAATACCTATTCTTCTCAAACTATTCCAAAAAATAGAAAAGGAAGGAAAACTTCCAAATTCATTTTATGAGGCAAGCATTACCCTGATACCAAAACCAGATAAAGACTCCACTAAAAAAGAAAACTACAGGCCAATATCCCTGATGAACATGGATGCAAAATACTAGCCAATAGGATCCAACAGTACATTAAAAGAACCGTTCACCACTATCAAGTGGGATTTATTCCTGGGTTGCAAAGGTGGTTCAGTATTCACAAATCAATCAACATGATACATCACATTAATAAAAGAAAGGATAAGGGGGCGCCTGGGTGGCTCAGTTGGTTAAGTGACTGCCTTCGGCTCAGGTCATGATCCTGGAGTCCCTGGATCGAGTCCCGCATCGGGCTCCCTGCTCGGCAGGGAGTCTGCTTCTCCCTCTGACCCTCCCGACCCTCCCCCCTCTCATGTGCTCTCTCTCTCAGTCTCTCTCTCTCAAATAAATAAAATCTTTAAAAAAAAATAAAGAAAGGATAAGAACCATACGATCCTTTCAATAGATGCAGAAAAAGCATTTGAAAAAGTACAACATCCATTCATGATAAAAACCCTCAATAAAGTAGGTTTAGAGGGAACATACCTCAACACAATAAAGTCCATACAGAAAAAACACACAACTGAAATCATCCTCATTGGGGAAAAACTGAGACCTTTTCCTTTATGGTCAGGAACAAGATAGGGATGTCCACTCTCACCACTTTTATCCAACATAATACTGCAAATCCTAGCCACAGCAATCAGACAACAAAAAGAAATAAAAGGCAACCAGATCAGTGGGGAAGAAGTAAAACTTTCACTATTTGTAGATGACATGATACTATATATAGAAAACCTGAAAGACTCTACCAAAAAACTGCTAGAACAGATAACATGAATTCAGTAAAGTTGCAGTATACAAATTCAACATACAGAAATCTGTTTCATTTCTGTATGCCAATAATGAAGCAGCTGAAAGAGAAATTAAGGAATAAATCCCATTTACAATTGCACCAAAAACCGTAAGATACCCAGGAATAAACCTAACCAAAGAGATGAAAGACCCATACTCTGAAAACTACAAAACACTGATAAAAGAAATGAAGATGAAATGGAGAAACATTCCATGCTCATGGATTGGAAGAACAAATACTGTTAAAATTATCTATATTCCCTAAAGTAATCTACACATATGATGCAATCCCTATCAAAATAACAACAGCATTTTTCACAGAGCTAGAACAAACAATTCGAAAATTTGTATGGAACCACAAAAGACCCTGAATAGCCAAAGCAACCTTGAAAAACAAAGCTGGAGGCATCACAGTTCCAGACTTCAAGTTATATTACAAAGCTGCAGTGATCAAACAGTATGGTACTGGCATAAAAACAGACACACAGGGGTGCCTGGGTGGCTCAGTTGGTTAAGCGGCTGCCTTTGGCTTGGGTCATGATCCTGGAGTCCCGGGATCGAGCCCCGAGTCGGGCTCCCTGCTCAGCGGAGAGCCTGCTTCTCCCTCTGCTTATCGCTCGTTCGCTCTCTTGCTCTCTCTCAAATAAATAAAAAAATCTTAAAAAAAAAAAAGACACATAGATCAATGGAACAACACAGAAAACCCAGAAATGGACCCACAACTATATAGTCAACTAATCTTTGACAAAGCAAGAAAGACTATCCAATGGAAAGAAGACGGTCTCTTCAAGAAATGATGTTGGGAGAACAGCCACATGCAAAAGAATGAAACTGGACTATTTTCTTACACCATACATAAAAATAAATTCAAATGGATGAAAGACCTAAATGTAAGACAGGAAACCATTAAAATCCTAGAGGAAAACACAGGCAGTAACCTCTTTGACATTGGCCATAGCAACTTCTTACTAGATACATCTCCTGAGGCAAAGGAAACAAAAGCAAAAATGAACTATTGAGATTTCATCAAAATAAAAAGCTTCTGCACAGTCAACAAAACTGAAAGGCAACCTACGGAATGGGAGAAGATATTTGCAAATGACATTATCTGATAAAGGGTTAGTATCCAAAATATGTAAAGAACTTATAAAACTCAACACCCCCAAAACAAATAATCCAATTAAAAAATAGGAAGAAGACATGAATAGACATTTTTCCAAAGAAGACATACAGACACATGAAAAGATGCTCAGCATCACTCATCATCAGGGAAGTACAAATCAAAGTACAATGAGATATCATTTCACACCTGTCAGAATGGCTAAAATTAACAACACAGGGAACAACAGGTTTTGGTGAGGATGTAGAGAAAGGGGAACCTTTCTGTGATTTGTTCCACCTATTTATAATCCTCTATATATACTAAGCTGATAGAGTGTTAGACAAGGGAAGAATGGCTGATCTCTAGGAACAATGCACCCCTAATACAGATATGTGGGGAAATGCATATATCTGGCACAGTCTAGCTGCTGTTCAGCATATATGTTAAGGCTTCATACCCAAAAAGGCATGTAATTATCTTAGAAGAAAAAAAGGACTCTCTTCAACAATCTCCAAGCCTGTCTTTTGAGGAAGTTAATAAGTGGTGAAAATAATAGTTGTGACTTAACTGCAAAAGGCAAAACTATAAAGCTTTCAGATGATCAAATAGAAAAACATCTATTCAAGGTAGGAAAGAATTTCTTAAATAAGAATTAAAAAGCCCAATCAGAAAGGTTGATAAATTTGGCTATAGTAAACTTAAGAATTTCTGTTCATCAAAAGACATTATAAAAAGAATGGAAGGGGCACCTGGGTGACTCATTCTGTTAAGCGTCTGCCCTCAGCTCAGGTCATGATCTCAGGGTCCTGGGATCAAGTCCTGAGTTAGGCTCCTTGCTTAGCAGGGAGTCTGCTCCTCCCCCTTCCTTCGCCTGCCACTCTGCCTACTTATGCGCGCTCTCTCTCTCTCTCTCAAATAAATAAAAACCTTAAAAAAAAAGAATGGAAGACAAGAGGATATATTTTTAACACAGAAAACTGTCAAAGGACTGGTTTCCAAAATTGTACAAAGAACTTCTACAAACCAAGAATAATAAGACAGACAACCCAATTAGAAATATGTGCAAAATATGCAAATAGGCACTTCAAATAGAGAAACTCATGTAAATAAACATATGAAAAGATGCTCAGCAAATTAGGAAACTGAAAAATAAAGCCACAGTGAACTATTACACATCCAACAGATAAGCAAATTCAGAAAGTCTGACAATACTAAGTATTAATGAGAATATAGGACGATAAGAACTCTCACAACTATTGGGGGAAACTCATTTATAAATGACTGTATACTGAGACCATATCTAAATTATAATTAGTGCTAATAGTTTTGTCTGGTGAAATTGAATGAGTTCCTAAGGTAACTTGGGATGGCTAGGTACCACAACAAAAATTGTTAGTTTGGAAACTAAACTTTGGAAAATAGTTTAAAATTTGGTAAAATGAAAGATATATATACTCTATACCTCATAATTCCACTCCTAGGTATATACCTGGAGAAATACAAGTACATACGTACAAGTATATATGTAAAGGCATGTTCATATCATTACTGTTTGTAATAGTCTCAAAGTAGAAACACCCCAAATGCCCATTTGCTAGTAGAATAGATAGGTATATTATGTTGTGTTTGTACAATGGAATACTTTACACCCATACAAGTAAGCAAATTATGTCTATATGAAACAATACAGATGAATTTTACAAGCATATGCTGAACAAAAAAAGCAAGACAAAGGACACCTATATTACCATTTTATCATATAACGTTCTAAAACAGGTAAAATAAACTGTATTACTTAGGTGATAAAACTATAGAAAGCAAATCAAGGAAATAATCCTTACAGAAGTCAGGAAAATGATGACCTCTGAAGGGGATGATATGAGGAATATGGGGCCTTTTGGAGTATGTATGATGTTCTGTTTCTTTACCTGGGTGATGGTTACATGGGTATTCTCTATAATTTTCTTTGTTAAACTGTTCATATGGGTTTTATTCTCTTATCTGTATGGATTGGGTTAAACTGTATGAAATTGCTATTTTTGTAGGTCAAAAACAAATATTGGTAATTTCTTATTGTTTGTATGTTTTATTTACAATTAAATTGCCAAAAGAAAAAAGTTTGTTCTCCTATAACAAACAGATGCTGAGTGTGAAGATAAAGGTACAGTAAGACAATTGAGAGAATCAAAATGTACTTCACAAGTAAGTCAAATGTTTGATTTCTAATTTCTAAGCAAAATATTCCAATTTAAAATGTTTCCACTTTAATTTCAGATTAAGTTTAATGAAGATTATATATGTGAGGACTAGGTGTTTTAGGTTGGTAATCAAGTTCCTGTGGTGTTAAAGCTTCTATTCCTTAGAAGAGTTTTAGATTAAAAAATGAAGCCACAAAAAGTTTACAGGAAAATATACAAAGAGTTGTCATTAATAATTGACTATATATATTGATGCCACAACTAAATCACAACTGAAGAAAACAATTTTGTTTGGTAAAATTGAATGATTTTCTAAGGCAGTTCAAGACCAGTGGTTGCCACAAAAATATTTTCAAAATATATTTTAATAGTGGAAAATTTTAATGATAGATGTAGACAATGTTTATTGGCTTTACTAAGGTAGCTACTAAGGGTTAAAACAAGACAAATGACATAGTAGAATTCTGCTCAAGAAAAACAGGTAAAAAGAACATTCTGAATTTTTTTGGTGGAGAGACCCAAATTATTTCTGAAATAGGATTTAGTATAGCAAACATATTTGAGAAATCATATTCTTACCCTACAAAATGATATAAAAGAAAATTAGTATTCATGTTCTCAACCTTTGCAGAGAAAGTAGTGTAATGAATTTTTAAGGACAAAAATGTACAAAGAACACAGCCAATGAGAATAAGATTTCTTAGAATTAAATCACTTTTTCCTTCCTGTGTCATATATAATTCCTGAGCCAGCACATGATGTGGAAATTTAAAAAAAATCATTCCTAACCATTTTTCTTCATCAATTTGATTATGTTCTGGTTATCCTTTCCTTTTTCAGGTAGAGGTAAGGGAGGTAGAGCTGGGAAGAAAAGAAAAATTAGAAAATTAAAAATAATTATTTTTCCATATTTTGCACAATTATATTTTGGTATCACTTTCATCAGTTATTCTTATTTTACTTATTTTGTCTATGAAATGATAACATCATAGATTAATATGGTGTTGTTCCTCACACATTTTTACATATGTGAATTTGTTAATGTAATAACCTCTTTAAAAAATAACATTCATTTTTATAGTTTTCTATTATTTTGAATTTGCAGGTTATATGTGCAGAACATTTTGGGAAACCAATAGAAAATAATAGTGCTGAAGTAGAAGAAAAGGCTGAGAATTTTCTACAAACTCCTGAAATTCCTTTATTTTTAAGAACCCCTGAAGCTGTGAAAACACCTGAACCTTTGGAGAAATTATTGTTTCCTAAAACCCCTTCTTTTGAAATGTAGGATTTTAATTAATAATTATCATTAAAGAAATCTGTATATATTGAGCCAATATTTTATAAATAATAGGAATAGTAAAATGTCTAGTTCCTGTAACTTTAAAAAGGTTTTATTATGGAATATTTCAAATACACAAAGGAGAGAGACTAGTGTAATGAACCTCCATGTACCTAGTATCCTGTTTAAACAATTATTAACATTCTACCATTCTTGTTTCATAGAACCTCTTCCCCATTTTTCCTACAGCATTCAGCTGAAGATGGTATAGATTCTGAGTACTTATCCAGTGTAATAGTACATACATTTAAGATTTTCCAAAGGATAAAAAATGTATGGAAAAATATTAAATGTCAAGCTAAAAAGCTACTATCATGTATGGTAGATTGTGGGCATCATTGAATAATGTTCCAGCTGTCATTTTTCCTTATGTTGTAGTGTCTAAAGCAAGAATTGCCATCTGTTAAGTAACCTTGGTAGGCAGAAATATCTCTTAACATGATTATTTAACTTTGGAAACCACAGATTCGTAGTTTACAGCCAAGAGAATAGGCTGCATTTAACCTTTTTGTTTAGTTTAATCCCTTTTTAAACTACAAACTTTAAGATTCTTTTAAAACATATGTCAAACAGATTCCACTTCAAATTTCTCTCACCCATGTTCTACTTCTGTATTTTAAATTGCTAGTAAGAGTTTTATATATTAAAGTCACGCTGTTGACTCACACACAGTATATTCAAAGTGGAACTCATCATCAAATATGAGAACTGTAAAAGGATATGGCAGCCATATGCTAAAACCTCGGTTTATGGATGAGAAAATTGATCTGTAAAGTTAAGTGACTCATTGATGGTCAATGGAGACAGTTATGGAAGTATTTTCAGATTTCTATCTTATTTGACAATAGCATTAACTGTGTCTAAACACTTTATAAATATTGCTCATTTAATAGGCACAACTTTATGAGATGTAAATACATTATTATGCTTATTTTATAGAAGAGGAAACAATCCCAGGTGATAGAACTTGTCAGTGATAGAGTTGAGATTCAAATGCAGGCAGCTTGGGAGACAATATGGCAGATGGCGAGGAGCTGGAGAAGAAAAGAAGGAGAATGGAGGAGCTGCTGGCTGAGAAAATGGCTGTTGATGTTGGGTGTGGGAACACTGGAGACTGAGAAGTTTGCTGGAACCATGTAAAGAAGTTCCTCGAGCGATCTGGACCCTTCACACACCCTGATTTCGAACTGAGCACTGAATCTCTCCAGTTTTTGTTAGATACATGTAAAGTTCTGGTCATTGGAGCTGGCAGCTTAGGATGTGGGTTCCTAAAAAATCTGGCGTTGTCTGGTTTTAGATTTATGTTATAGACATGGACACTATAGATGTTTCCAATCTAAATAGGCAGTTTTTATATAGGCCTAAAGATGTTGGAAGACCTAAGGCTGAAGTTGCTGCAGAATTTCTAAATGACAGAGTTCCTAACTGCAATGTAGTTCCACATTTCAACAAGATTTCAGGATTTTAATGACACTTTCTATCAACAATTTCATATAATTGTATGTGGACTGGACTCTATCGTAGCCAGAAGATGGATAAATGGCATGCTGATATCTTTTCTAAATTATGAAGATGGTGTATTAGATCCAAGCTCCATTGTTCCTTTGATAGATGGGGGGACAGAAGGTTTTAAAGGAAATGCCCAAGTGATTCTGCCTGGAATGACTGCTTGTATTGAATGCACACTAAAACTATCCTTCACAGATTAATTTTCCCGTGTGCACCATTGCATCTATGCCCAGGCTACCAGAACACTGTACTGAGTACGTAAGGATACTGCAGTGGCCTAAGGAGCAGCTTTTGGAGAAGGAGTCCATTAGATATAAATGATCCTGATCATATTCAGTGGATTTTCCAAAAGTCCGTGGAGAGAGCATCACAATATAATACTAGGGGTGTTACCTATAGACTCACTCAAGGTGTAGTAAAACGAATCATTCCTGCAGTAGCTTCTACAAATGCAGTTATTGCAGCTGTGTGTGTCACTGAGGTTTTTAAAATAGCCACAAGTACATATATTCCTCTTATACTTGGTATTCAGTGATGTAGATGGACTATAAATGTACACATCTGAAGCAGAGAGAAAGGAAAACTGCCCAGCTTGTAGCCAGCTTCCTCAAAATATTCAGTTTTCTCCATCCACTAAACTGCAGGAGGTTTTGGATTATTTAACCAAGTGCTTCTCTGCAGATGAAATCTCCAGCCATCACAGCCGCATTAGAGGGAAAAAAATAGAACACTTTACTTACAGTCAGTAACCTCTATTGAAGAACGAACAAGGCCAAATCTCTCCAAGACATTGAAAGAATTGGGACTCGTTGATGAGCAAGAACTGGCAGTTGCTGATGTCACCACAACACAGACTGTACTATTCAAACTTCATTTTACTTCTTAAGGAAAATAAATCTGCACATAATAGAAAACTCATGAAAATATATTACGTGGATGCTAAGAAATTTAATGTCATTTTTAGCATTAGTTTTGCTGGAATTTGACTTTTTTATATAATGAACCACTCTTTTTTAAATTTATAACTTATCCTTGAAGACAGAATTTTGGGGTTGGTACTTGTAAGCATTTTCATTAATAATATGAGAAATGATGCCTGGAGAGAGAGATAAAGAGCAAATGTATTCTTTCAGAGGAGGAGGCAAGCACTCTCTTTTGTCTGAATTTTGCTCCTATGGTCAAAGAATGAATGAATTCCTCAGTTTTCATTTGAGCACCCACATATAGAAAAGATGTCCCTTTAAAGAAAAAAAGAAAATTAAGTTTTAAATAACATTGAATATTACACCCTGACATCTAGAGCATGTTGAACATAGCCTATTTCTTGCTTGATTTAATATTCATTTAATTGTAGTTATCCAAATGGATATTAATTATTGCAAAGGTTACCTTGTCCATACTAATTTTAAATGGTGTAGTAGCTGAATACTTGTGCATGGAAATGGGAACTATTTTCATGTTTACTTGTAGTGCCATAGAGGCCAATATGCACAGTATTAAAGCCAAGACATGGATGTTTGAAAGAAAAAAAATACAGGCAGCTCTACCTCCAGAATTCACTTAACCACTGTGCTCTCTAATTATTTTTCCCAAATCATTTTATAATTTAACTTCCTTATGCAACAATATGTAATGGCTGCCTCCTCATCAAGACTAAAATCTTGTAATTGTCTTTCAAGATCTTGGAGACAGTATAGCCTCAAAGTTAAGAGCTGGGACTTTGAATCGGGATTGCTGAATTCAAATCCCAACTCTGGCACTTACATTTCTTGGAGAAAGTCATTTAACCTTTCTATGCTCCAAAATTTTCTTCTGTAAAATGGAGGTGGTAATAATAGTACCTATTTCATAGGTTTATTGTGAGGAATAAGTAAGTTAATGCCAGTGGAAATACCTAGAATAGAGCCGGACAGTATGTTCTCAGTTGGAATTCATTATTATTCCATAATTGATTGTTCTACTTTAACATTATTTTCCACCTCAAACCATCTTTTTCTTAAGAGGTTTTTCACTTCAATAACTATTCTCTCCCTTTCCCTACTGTGCTAATTCTTACTTCTGTGCTATTGTTTAGCAGTCTGCAATATTTAGTAATATATTTTTAACATTTTTTAATTTTTTTATTTTTAACATTTTTATTATTATTTCTTTGTAACAGAAATAGAAATATAATGCCTGAAGGTCAAACACAAAAGGAATCCCCTGGATTTTCTTTTCTTACAAATTATACTTCTAGATCTCCTGGATTGAATTTATTTGATTCTACTATATTTGATTCAGAAATCTCATCAGATCAGGTAATATGAGAAGCTAAAGTTTTATTTCTAAAAAACTACACTGGAACCTCAAGTAATTTTTTTAAGAGAGAACACACATGCACTCATGCATGTAAGCAGGGGTGGGGAGGGACAGAGGGAGAAAGAATTTTTTTTTTTAAGATGTATTTATTTGAGAGAGAGTGAGCAAGTGAGCGAGCAGGGGAAGGAGAAGAGGGAGAGAGAATCTTAAGTAGACTCACCACTGAGTGCAGAGCTCGACTTGGGGCTCCATCTCAACACCCTGAGATCATGACCTGAGTGAAAATGAAGAGTCGGAAGCTTAACCAATTGAGCCGCCCAGGTGCCCCTCAGGTAATTTTAATTCTTTAGTATCAAACTGTCTTGGAGCAGAGTACAAAGCAGAGGCAATTTTTTAAAAAGATTCTGAGTATTGATAATGTAGCACAGTTCCCCCATTATGTTTTTGTTTTCAATTTCAGGTGCCCTCAGTTGATAACTGTTTATAAAAAAAAGAATCTCAGGATAGGGATGATTTAAATTGCAGTCAAAGGCAGTTCAAAATTGATTTGGCTTCATAGTTCATGTGGCTGACTTCTAAACAAACTTTTCATTTCTCAGTGTGAAAAATTCTCCAGGTTATTAGTTGGTCTTTTTATTTACATATGTGTATGTAGCAACATTATCGGTTAATTTTAAAAGACCTAGTTTTCTCCAAATAGTGATTTCTGCTATTCAGTGATAGAACAGTAAGGTGCTTATTTCTGTTATTTGGCAATTGAAACTGAAAATTAAGATATGCTTTATTTGATCAGTAGAGACAGCACAGTGTAGCAGTTAAGACCAGACTGATGCCACACTGGTTGAGTGTGTACTGGAGGTAGCATTTTGAGTACATAGCTCCCTGTTTCTCATCTGTAAAATGGAAACAAGAATTTTTGCCATTGCGGGGCGCCTGAGTGGCTCGGTCGGTTGAGCATCTGCCTTCAGCTCAGGTCATGAGCTGGAATGGAGTTCCGCATGGGGCTCCTTGCTAGGCGAGGAGCCTGCTTCTCCCTCTGCCTACCGCTCCCCTGCTGTGCGCTCTCTTTCTCTCTGACAAATAGATAAAATATTTATTTTATTTATTTTTTTAAAAAAGATTTTATTTATTTATTTGACAGAGACACAGCGAGAGAGGGATCACAAGCAGGGGGAGTGGGAGAGGGAGAAGCAGGCCTCCCGCTGAGCAGAGAGCCCAATGTGGGGCTCGATCCCTGGACCCTGGGATTATGACCTGAGCCAAAGGCAGACGCTTAATGACTAAGCCACCCAGGCACCCCTAGATAAAATCTTTAAAACAAAAAAGAATTTTTGCCATTGGTTTTATGGATATTAAATGAGTTTATATGCATAAAGCCTTAGAAAAATTCTAACCACTTAATGCTAAAATATGTTATTATAATAAGTATTATATTGTTGCTCATTTAAATTAGTCACATTTAGCCAGTTTTATGTGGATTAGAATATTTTATTCCTATACCCCCCATTATATTAAATTGTTGAAATTATAAGTTTATTGATGGATGATATAGTACAATACATTTTATAGTATTTCATGTCTTCAACTTTGTCTCAATTTTTATCTCAATGCTTATTTCAAAAAAATTCCCAGAAGGTGTGTGCTGGGCATAAAAAAGTAGAATAAAATTAGATAATTGTCATTGCAATATTAACATTAATGCAAAATACATGTATGTAACCTTAACAGGAAACATGTACATTTGGATAAAGAAGACCACAAAACTACTGAAAAAAATTATTGAGTATATAGAGAGACTTATGGAATAGCTACATAGGAATAAAATATTGTAAATATGTATTTCTTCCCAAAATAATTTATAAATGTAATTCAATTCTAATCTAATTGGAATTATGGCAAGATGGTTTATCTTTAATTTTTTGTTTTGTTTTGCTTTGTAGTGTTGGGGTGGGGAATGAGATTGACAGATAATTACTAAGTTTCCTGGTCAAGAGTAATCAAGAAAATGTTCAAAAATAAGATTGGCAATAAATTAAGATGGAATCCTAAAAAATAAAAATTAATCCAAAATAAAGCAGAGAAGTAATAGAATAACAGAACACAGAGAGAGCAAACATAAAACAAATAGTAAAATGTTAGACCCAAATATGAAAAGTTTTAATAATCACATTAACTATAAATGGACTGAACACTCCATTAAAGGTGGAGATTATAAGAGCAGATCAAAAAAATGACCCTACTATAAGCTATCAACAAGAAACACATTTTATTTATTTTTTCTTTTTTCAAGTTTTTGTTTAAATTCCAGTTAGTTAACATACAGTGTAATATTAGGTTCAGGGTAGAATTTAGTGATTCATCACTTACATACAACACTCAGTGCTCATCACAATAAGTGCCCTCCTTAATAGCCATCAAACTTCCACTGTTTGCAGATGACATGATACACACACACACACACACACACACAAAACCACACTGGAATATTACTCAGCCACCAAAAAGAATGAACTCTTGCCATGTGCAATGACATGGATGGAACTAGAGGGTATTATGCTAAGCAAAATATGTCAGTCAGAGAAAGACAAATACCATATGATTTTACTCATATATGGAATTTAAGAAACAAAACAGATGAACATAGGGGAAAGGAAGGAAAAATAAAGTAAGATGAAAACAGAGGCAAACCATAAGACACTCTTAACAATTGGGAACAAACAGGGTTGCTAGAGAGGAGGTGGGTGGGGGGATGGGGTAAATGGGTGATGGGTACTAAGGAGGACACTTGATGTAATGAGCACTGGGTGTCATATGCAAGTCATGAAGCAGTAAATTCTACCCCTGAAACTAATACTACACTGTATGTTAACTAACTACAATTTAAATAAAATCTTGAAAGAAAAAAAAAAGTAAGTGGATGGAAAAAGATATATCATAAAAACTGTAAGAAGGTCACAATGGTTATACTTATATCATTTTAGGTAATCTTCTAGACAAAGAATATTGCTAGAGATAAAGAAGGACATTTCTTAAGAATAAAAGGGCTGGGGGCGCCTGGGTGGCTCAGTTGGTTAAGCGACTGCCTTCGGCTCAGGTCATGATCCTGGAGTCTCGGGATCGAGTCCCGCATTGGGCTCCCTGATCGGCAGGGAGTCTGCTTCTCCCTCTGACCCTCTCATGCTCTATCTCATTCTCTGTCTCAAATAAAATAAATAAAATCTTTAAAAAAAAAAAAAGAATAAAAGGGCTGGGGCGACTGGGTGGTTCAGTCGGTTAAGCATCTGCCTTTGGCTCAGGTCATGATCCTGGGGTCTTAGGATCCAGCTCTGCATTGGGCTCCCTGCTCAGTGGGGAGCCTGCTTCTCCCTCTCCCTCTGGCCCCTGCTCACTCTCTCTCTCTCTTTCTCTCGCTCTCTGTAATAAATAAAAGGGCCAGTTCTTAAGAAAGATATAACAATGACAAATGTGTATGTGCCTAATAACAGCCTCAAAATACAGAAACAAATGAAAAGCAGACCATAAGGAATACAGTCAGTGATACTGTAATAGCAATGTAATGGGACAGATTGTAGCTATACATGTGGTGGACATAACATCATGTATAAACTTGTCAATTCACTAAGTTGTACACCCAAAACTAATGTAACATTGTCTGTCAACTATACTAAAAAATACAGAAACAAAAATTGACTGAATTAAAGGGAGAAATAGAAAAAAACACAACTTGATTGGAGATTTTTAGCACCCTTCTCTCAGCACTTGATTGAATTAGACAACATAATCAATAAAGATCTATAAAATCTGAACACTACCATCAACCCTCTTGACCTAACTGACATTTATAGAACACCAACCACATTCAGCAACCTCAGCTCCACAGCTTATATAGGCATGTCTTGTCTTACTGCACTTTGCAGATACTGCTTTTTTTTTTTTTTAAATAAATTGAAGGTTTGTGGCAACCCTGTGCCAAACAAGTCTACTGGCATCATTTTTCCCAACAGCGTTTGCTTACTTTGTATCTCTGTGTCACATTTTGGTAATTCTCACAATATTTCAAGCTTTTTCATTATTATTATATTTGTTATGGTGGTTTGTGATCAATGATTACAACTCATTGAAAGCTCAGATGAAAGTTTGCATGTTTTAGCAATAAAATATTTTTAAATTTAATTATGTGCAATTTTTAAGACATGATGCTATTGCACACTTAATAGTGTAGTGTAAACATAACTTTTATATGCATTGGGAAACCAAAAAATTCATTTGACTTGCTTTATTGTGATATTCACAGTTTTGTGGTGGTCTGGAACCAAACCTGTAATATTTCTGAGGTATGCCTGTATATTCTTTTCAAGCGCTGATGGTATATTCACCAAGACCATATTCTGGGCCATAAAATGAGTCTTAATAAATTTCAAAGGATTGAGATCATAGCGAGTATGTTCTCTGTCCACAATATAATTAAATTAGAAATCAATAAAATAGAAGGAAAATCCTAAATAATTAGGCCATGGATCAAAGAAGAAATCATGGGGCATCTGGGTGGCTCATTCGTTAAGCATCTGCCTTCAGCTCAGGTCATGATCCCAGGGTCCTGGAATTGAGCCCCACATCAGGCTCCCTGTTCAGCAGGGAGTCTGCTTCTTCCTCTCCCACTCTCCCTGCTTGTGTTCCTTCTCTTGCTTTGTCTCTCTCTGTCAAATAAATAAAATCTTTAAAAAAAAAAACATATCACCACATCAAAAACTAATGATGTATTGTATGGTGACTAACATAACATAATAAAATTAAAAAACAAACAAACAAACAAAAAAGCCAAAGAAGAAATCATGAGAGAAATTAGAAAAGATTTTGAAATGAGTGATTATGAAAATTCAGTGTTTCAAAATTAAGGAATGTTGTCAAAACCAGAATAAAACCATAGCTTTAAATAATTTAATTAATATTTTAAATAATTCAGTTAATAGAAACGAAGAAAGGTCTAAAATCAGTGACCTAAGTTTTCACCTTGAAAATCTAGAAAATGGGGTGCCTGGGTGGCTCAGTCATTAAGCGTCTGCCTTCGACTCAGGTCATTGTCCCAGGGTCCTGGGATCAAGCCCTGCATTGGGCTCCCCACTCAGCTGAGAGCCTGCTGCTCCCCCTGCTGTGCTCTCTCTCTCTCTGTGTCAAATAAATAAATAAAATCTTAAAAAAAAAAAATCTAGAAAAAGAAGAACAAAGTAAACCCAAAGTAAATAGAATGAAAAGGGAGATAAGAGAAATCAATGAAATAGAAAAAAAGCAATAGAGAAAATTGACAAAGCCAAAGTTGGTTCTTTGAAAAAAATTGACAGAATTTATAAACTCATCATTAGACTAACAAAAAGATAAGACAATTTACCTATTTTACAAATAAAATCGTATTATAGATCCTACAGACAATAATAAGAATATTGTGGAAAAGAAGACTGGTGAGGGGGAACCAAGAGCAATCAAAATGTGATAATGGTACAAGGACTGATAAATTGATCAATATTATGGGCTAGAAAGTCTTGAAACTTTAAATATTCATTAGATCTTAATAAGAGGAAGGATTCTCTGAGCATTAAAACAGTGGAAGACGAGCCAAAAGAAAATAAAAGGGTTTGGGTTTGGTTCCATAAAAAATTTTTATATGTTAAAAAAATTTTAAAGGCAAAATGATAATGTGATATAAAATATTTGCAATAATATAAGGAATTAATGTCTTTAGTATGTAAAAAGCTTATGTGGATTAATAAGAATTACTACCTCAATAGAGACATATACAAAGTTCTTTAGGTGAATAGATAATCACTGAAAAAGAAATTCAAGTAACTTATAAAATCTCTGGGATAAACAGCTTTCCTTATTAATTGTCAAAAAAATGTAAATCTGTGCATAACAGTATTTACTCAAGTGTAATTTGTATTAGAAAGAAACAGAAGTGACCTCAATGTCCAAAGTGAAAGAATGATTGCAAACCAAGAAACAGATTCTTAACTATATAGAACAAACTGATGGTTACCAGAAGGGAGGGGGTGGGGGAATGGATTAATAAAGGAGTGCACTTGTAATAAGCACTGGGTGTTGTATGTAAGTGTTGAATCACTAAATTGTACACCTGAAACTAATATTACACTGTATGTTAACTAACTGGAATTTAAATAAAAACAAACAAAAATAGACACTGTATGGTATATTCATATGGAAAAATATGAAAATGCCATCAAAAGAATCTTGGTTTTGGAAGAATAGTGACATGGGAAGATGCTCATAATGCAGCATTAAGAGAAAAAAAGGGACAGAAATCTGTTGTCATGATCCCATTTTTTTTAAAAAACCTGTTTTACAGAGAAAACAGACTCTTTTGGCAGCAAAACTTGATCTGAACTGACATGAAGCTGTCATATTTCCTTACTTTTATAGGCAGGAAAACAATACCAAGAACCTGCTTTGTAAAAGACCTTCAGAATAAAGCAAAAGTTATTTAGAATTTTAGGTTATATGAATATTCCAAAGTAGGAACTATCTTTAGTATACTATATATACCTTTTAATATATTATCTATTGCAAGAATCAAATCAATAAGCTTTATTTTAATGTAAGCAAATGATAGGTTTTAAAGATAGGTCTCTTTTTTAAAGTACAGTAATGTGCTTATAGAATGTTGCCATTTTGTCTACTCTAATTATGTTTATTAGAAGAACTAGGCTTTATATTCAAATATAAATGCCATAATACTGTTCTACTGATTTCTTGAGTAATAATGGAAATTATTTTTCAGTTTAATGAACATTATTCTGCAGGAAATTTAAATCCTCTCTCATCACAACAAGAAATTGGTAAGTGATTTGAAGTTTGCTACATATAAAAACATGTTAACTTCTCCACTTTTTATTTAGTTTGCCTCTGATTTTCTCAGGCCCTCAGTTTATTCTTTTAAAATTCACTTACTTCTGCACCACTCACTGTTTTTGGTAGCTATTTAGCTTCTTTCACTACTCCACCAAATTCTCCAATAACAACTAGTGACTTAACAATTATTAAACATTATGGGTATTTTGTATTTATTATCATATTCACTATCTCTGTAGCATTCGATATAGTTGATTATTCTCATCTTCTTTCTGAAGTTTTTAGATTTCCTCCTATATCTCTGGTGCTTACTTTTTATTTGATCTTCTTTCTTCTCTTATCCTATGATTAATTGATTCATTCAACATAGAAATATATATGTGTATAAATATAGTATATTTTGTATTTGGTACTGCTTTGGCTCTGGTGATAGAATAGTGGACATTTTTCTTTTTTTCTTCCTTTCCTTTCTTTCAGTACCACATACAAGTGAGATTATACATTATTTGTCTTTCTGTCTGACTTATTTCACTTAGCATAATGCCATTAGTGTTACTATAAATGGCAGGATTTCCTGTTTTTTTTTATAGCTCAGTAATATTCCATTACGTGTGCATATGTATATATATACATATATTTATTTCTTTTTCCTGCCTGATTGCTCTATCTAGGACTTCCAGTACTACTTTGAATAGGAGTGGTAAGAGTGGGCACCCTTGTCTTGTTCCTGATTTTAAAGGAAAACTCTTCTCCTTTCACCATTGAGTATAGCGTTACCTGTGGGCTTGTCATATATGGCTTTATTATGTTGAGATATGTACCTTCTATGCCTAAATTGTTGAATTTTTATCATGAATGGATGTTGGATTTTGTTGAATCCTTTTTCTGCATCTATTGAGATGATTATATGATTATTTTCTTTTATTCTATTAATGTGATGTATCTAACCTTGTTCTAACATACCTTTTAAGCCTTTTCTCTTAGAAATAATGTATGCTTTTGGCCAGACCAAAGAACTCGCTACATTCCAAATACGCCCACACTTTCTTTTTTTTTTTTTTTTAAAGATTTTATTTATTTGAGACAGAGAAAATGAGAGAGACAGAGAGCACATGAGAGGGGGGAGGGTCAGAGGGAGAAGCAGGCTCCCTGCCGAGCAGGGAGCCCGATGCGGGACTCGATCCTGGGACTCCAGGATCATGACCTGAGCCAAAGGCAGTTGCTTAACCAACTGAGCCACCCAGGCGCCCGCCCACACTTTCTTATCCACTTTTTTCTTCCTGAAATCAACTTCCATTTCTTTCTAACCATCTTCCAAAACCAGGTTCCATAAATCCTTTTATTTCCCTTCAACTTTTCATCCCCAAAAGATCTCTCCTTCACTTTTCTGTATGTTTCTTTTTTTAATATACTTTAAAATATTATTTTGTCTGTTATTTATCAATATATAAAAAATATTTTCTAATCACATGTCTTTGGGGACAGGGATTCTGTTTTATTCACCTTTGTATTGTCCACAGCACCTTGCACATTAATCTATTATTTTATTTATAATGAACATAGGAGTTTTATGGAGACTTTATATGAACTTCTTTTCTTCTGAAATTAAATAAAAAACCATCAAATTCATTTATTCAAAGGCAGATTCAAGATTTTAGTTCTTTCTGAGCCTGTAGCTATATTACATTTATTTTCCTTCGTTTAAATCTTATGGATGTGTACTGAAGTCAATGGAAAAATAAAGGGATAGAGGAAGAACTCAAGTATCTGGTAATCAGTCAGTCCATCTGTCTTTCTAACCATCCCTCCATCCACCCACCTACTGCTGGTAGGCTCAGCTTTATTTAGGTTGAAATAATTGAGGTGTTTAAAGATACATGAAATTTTAAAGTGCTACAAAATAAATTGTTCTGCTTAATTGAATTGGTTCTTTATGGAAAAAATATAGGTGTTTTAAAAGACTTCAAGTAAGTTTTTAGATTACTGTGTATTTTGAGTTTGTTAATAATTAAAAATTATAATAAAGGTATTAAAAATATTTTAGTATTTATAGTCTTATATATAGTGAATGAAAAATAATATTTTTCCTTAGGGGCAGTTCTTGGAGTCATTAACCAAATAATTCTTTATGTAAAGTTGATTTCAAAAATTCCTCTTTGGGCGCCTGGGTGGCTCAGTTGTTTAAGCATCTGACTCTTGATTTTGGCTCAGGTCATGATCTCAGGGTCGTCAGATGGAGCCCGCATAAGGCTCCATGCTCAGCGTGGAGTCTGCTTGAGATTTTCTCCCTCTCCCTTCCCCTCTGGTTCTCCCCTCAGCTTGCGCTCTCTCTCTCTCTCTAAAATAAATAAAAATAAAATCTTAAAAAAATTCCTTTTAGAACTATAGAAGCCTTTTCACTGTTCTGTCCATTTCCTTGAACAATGCCACAAACAGGACATTGTAGTAACTCATAAATAATAGTTGAATAAGTTTGACTTCTGCAATATCTCTTAGACCCAGCATCTTTCCCATTCGCTTTGCTATGACTATATGATGAACCTTTCATCATTTCTTTCCTATTATCCCCACTTCTAGATGCTCTACTGTTCCAGGCTTTCTACACATTCTTTCCTTAGTAATCCTTATAAAGTAGTTCAAATCCTGTCATATCTCCACTTGAAAACTTAAAAAAATTTTTTTTTATTATTTTGGTGGGAGGCAGAAGGAAAGGGAGAGTGAGAATCTTAAGCAGGCTCTACACCCAGTGTGGAATGGGAGGTGGGGCTTGATCTCACAATCCTGAGATCATGACCTGAGCCAAAATCAAAAGTCCATTGCTTAACCGACTGAACCATCCTCCACTTGAAAACTTTTAATGGCTTCCTGTTACATATAAAATAAAGTCCAGATTCTGTAGTTGGACATTCAGCAGTCTTTCTAAGCTCATCTTCATTAATACCCTTTTAATAACTTTTTATTATTTCTCAGTGCTCCTGACAAGCTGAATTGATTTCTGTTATCCTTATATTTCCTATGCATGCCTGTTACTGTGCCTCTGTGCTGTTCTCTCCATTTGAGGTGTTTTACCCCTTTTCCTACCATATATACTAGCTCTTATTATGCTTGAGTTCAAATTACTTGAAAGTAACTTTGGATCTATTTGATTTCTCATAGTTCTTTGCACATAGGAATACAGTTAAATATCTGCTTAATAAGTGATTCAGTGTTACCCTATTTATTGTTTGCAGTTTATGTAATTTAATAGATTATGTAAATTATGTAACATGAATAGCATGGTATTGTAATGTTTATCTTCCTCAGGAAACTTATTTGGGAAACCAGAAGGAGAAGATGCCTTCACATTTTCTTTTTCTTCAGACTCTTCAACTCATACATTTGGAACTGGAAAAGATTATTTTAGTTTTCCATTTTCATTTGAACAGGATCAAAACTCAACACCTTCTTCTGTAAAAGATTTTTCATCTTCCTCACAAAATAAAACACAATTTACTTTTTTTTGAACTGATTACTAATTTCTCAAATTATTTAACTGCTCTGCAATCATCTAGGGCATAAATTTACATTATCACTTAAAAATGAAGACTACTTTCTTTTGTTGATTAAAGCAGTAATGGGTTACCATAGTTACATTATTTGATTATATATTTAAATATTGAGGAAAATTAACCCTATATCATCAAATTTTGTTTTATCTGAAGCATTTTCTATTGTTTATTTTGGTTTTGATTTCGCAAGCCATATTTAGGCAGAATTAATCTTAATAGAATTTGATGCTTTTTCATTAATCTTTACTATAAATAGTAAGCCTGCTTCTCCCCAGAACCTAAGTTTCATTCTGGTAGTATTTTAGGTGTTTTGATAAGAACCTGAAATTTAGGCCATCAGAAGACCTTGTAGCAGTAACTATGCAGAATTAGCTGAGGTGTACTTTGTACTTTAGCTACTAAAAAATGCTTTTAAAACTACTGTTTCACTTATGCTTCACTGTTGCAGTATAAAGAGTGGTGCTTTAATAATAATCTCACAGAATTCATGTTAGTGATAGTGAATAAAATGTGTTATTTTCTTCTAATACAACAAATAATAAAATTATAATTTTGTCAGTTATTCTAATATTTTGAATGGAAAGAAATTAAATGTGAAGGGCTGGAGTAATTTCTGAAAATTAGATCGTTGTATGAATGATGATACTGTTATATTTTCTTGCTGAAACTTTTTTGAAGAATATTTAAAATTTTGTTTTCTGTTTCTAACAAGAAAATTGGCCTTCATGTTTTATATGCAGTATTTGCTTGTGAGTTATGTAGGTTAAATGAAGATGTTTAAATTTTGATGAAATTATATAAACGTATTGCTCAATGTCTTTGTATTTTGTGCTTTTTAAATTGGTTACATTGAGTTTTCAAGTAATAAAGAGTCTGATTCCAAATTCTGGTGTGTGACTGCTGACAGATTTTAAGCTTCACTGCATTTTCTTTCCCTTCTGCTCCACATCTGATCAAGCTGATAAAGCCCAGGTGTTCCATGGGATGCCTCGTGGTTCAGTCCGTTAGGCGTCTGCCTTCAATTCAGGTCATGATCCTGGGGTCCTGGGATCCAGTCCCACATCTGGCTCCTTGCTTGGCAGGCAAGGAGCCTGCTTCTTCCTTTGCCTGCCTCTCCCCCTGCTTGTCCTCTCTCTCTGTCAAGTAAATAAATAAAATCTTAAAAAAAAAAAAAAAGCCCAGGTGTTCCCACCTTTAGCACCAGTGGGAAGTTCAAGCCATATATAGGAACTCTTGTTCTGGCCCCACCCTGAACCACCATAAAAACCCATAGCCAGTCTCCTTCCTCTGATCTCTCAAGCCATTTTCAGACAAACTAGGTAGTTCTGGCCTGCTCTCTCCAGAAAACGTCATTATATGAGTAATAAACCTTTTCATACCCTACTGTGGTGCCATTAGTCTCAATATCCAAGCCAAATTTTGGGTGAATCTCTCTTCTTCAGGGTGTTTACAACATATCACAATTGTATTAAATTAAGCTTTCCCAAAGACTTGATAGAAGTCAGAGAAATGATACAGCTAATGAGAGAAAGAATTTAAGAAAACTTCGGACTATGGTTTAAAAATAAAAGCTTCAACAACTGGTTGAAAGCTGAAAATTTCAGCTAAAAACCTAGAGTTTTTCTTTTTATATCAAGTATTTTATTGACCCTATGATTGAATTAATTGGTAGTTTTGATATAATAAAGACATTGGCTATATATGAAGAAGGAGAAAATGTAATTGGTTTGTTCTTTAAGAGGGTCAAAACTGGTTTTAAAGATTTTTTATTTATTTATTTGAAAGAGAGAGAATGAGAGAGGGAGAGAGCACATGAGAGGGGGGAGGGTCAGAGGGAGAAGCAGACTCCCCGCCGAGCCGGGAGCCCCATGCGTGACTCGATCCCGGGACTCCAGGATCATGATCTGAGCTGAAGGCAGTAGCCCAACCAACTGAGCCACCCAGGCGCCCCAAAATTGGTTTTAGCCTTGAGAGATCCAGTGATTCCATGGTTTATTTTTACTTTAAATAGAGAAATGCCTAGCACACAGGTATCATGTATCAATAACTACAGTGTGCATAGCATTTTGAGGGTATATAGAAGAGCTAAAAGACACAGTCTTACACTCAAAGAACTTATAATTTAGTTGAGACATACCTTATGAAACAACAAAAACACATTACAATAAAATAGTTTATAATCAAATTCTATAGTTTATAACTTGGTCTGTGGTAGAGAAGAGATTGAGTGCTTTAAGAATTATAAAAAGGAAGGTTATCATGGACTGGAAAGCCTAGGAAGGAGTCATTGAAGAGGTAGGATTTGAATTAGGACACTAAAGGTGCATGTAGATTGTAAAATGCTGCTTTTTTTTAGCTTTGCATTTTTTGTTGCCTAACTCGACCAGTGTCTAGTAAGATTTCATTAATTTTTTGTTGAATTAATAGAATTGAACTGAATTGGTAAAAGAGGCAGGGAAGGCTTTCTAGGTAAGGGGAACAATATGAGCAAAATAAAAATGCAATCACAAATTTAGTACAAGTGGAGGAAATTCAAAATAGGCCTAAACAGTGGAGAGTAATAGTAGGAAACTGAGGTTAATAGATATGGTAAGAATGATTTATAGAGAATCTTCAAGTGTTTTGACTTGGTTTCTGAAGCTGATAAGGAACTTATGTCTTAAATGCCAGAGTTGCAAGATAAAAGGAATGACTAAGAAAGGTTAAGCAGGTAATATGGTTAGAGTTGGGAGAAATTAGAGTTAAATCAAGTAGGAGGCAGTTGCACTGGTCCAGATATGCAGTGATAAGTTTCAGGTGATAACAACTAATTGTGTTGTGGTTTGATGCTGCTGACACCTAAAATCAGAAAAGTATATGTTGCCTAAAAGAAAGATATTTGATTGAATACCTTCTGTATATAAGGTAAAAAGAGAAAGGAAGCAGAGTTATTTGGTTGTGTTTGAATATCATAAATCTCAACTAGCAGAGTTATGTGCAGTGTTTCTAATATAGATCACAGAATTAACTGTATAATCAAATAACCTTCTAAAGATAATTTTTAAAGAACAGTATTCCCCTAATGATAGATGAAATCTTCAAAATAGAGGTCATCTTCAAAATAGGAATTCATCTCCACTTCTACAGTAAGGTTTTAGAAATGTGGGGTCCAGTCCCAAAGCCCTCTGTTACATTTAGTAGAAAAGCTAAAACTGCACATCTATTTATGTTTAAGAAAAAAATCTATTTTAATATGATGAGACTAGTTTTTTTTCTCTATGATTAGAAAAGGTATTCTAAATTTAGAAGAGGAAAATTCCAATTCAGTTAAAACTCTGATTTATCATCAAAGGAGGTCTAAGATACTATAGCTACTGTGGTATCACTAATTCTCAGTGGACAGAGCAAGAAATATATGTATGTATATTAATCTATCTATCATCTATCTACATACTTAAAACATGAGCTTGTACTGATAACTCCAGCAACATGAGGGTCATTCTAGTGTTTTCCTTTTATTTGAAACTTCTTTCTCTGACAGTGAGAAACTTGGCTTTCATTAATTATAATTTATTTACTCTTGTTCAACCTTAGTATGCATTTAATTTCAGAATTGTGAACCCAGACCCTGTAAGAAACAAATTTATCCATTAGGGTATGTTAGTTTCCTGTAGCTGCTATAGCAAATTGCCACAAACTTGGTGGATTGAAACAACAGGAGTTTATTCTCTCACAGGTCTGGAGGATAGACACCCAAAATCAGTTTTACTGGGTCAAAATCAAGGTGTTAGTAAGACCATACTTTCTACAGAGGCCTCTTCCAGTTTCTGGTGGATGCTGGCATTCCTTGGCTTGTGTCCACATCACTCCAATTTTCAAGGCCATTGTGTTAGGGTTCAGAGAACCAGAACCAATAGCATCCTTTCTGTCTTCTGTCTATATATCCATCCATCATCTAGATTTATTTTAAGGAATTGGTTCTCATGTTTGTGGAAGTTGCAAATCCTAAATCTGGATGACTCAGTTAAGCATCTGCCTTTAGCTCAGATCATGATCCCAGGGTCCTGGGATCTAGCCCCACAGGCTCCCTGCTCAGTGGAGAGTCTGCTTCTCCCTCTTCCTCTGCCCCTGCTCGTGTTCCCTCTCTCTCTCTCTCTCAAATAAATAAATGAAATCTTAAAAAACTTTAGAGTTTTATATTTACTTTTAGGTCTGTGATATATTTAAGTTAATTTTTATATAAGGTGTGAGGTATGTATCAAGATAAACTTTTGGGGAGGCATCATTTGTTGAAAAGATTGTCCTTTCTCCATTTAATGGCTTTTGTATCTTTGGCAGTAATCAATCAATAGGTTCATATAGGTCTTTTTTTTTTTTTTTTTTATGTTGGCTCCACTCCCAGCATGGAGCCCAATGTGGGACTTGAACTCACAACTCTAAGATCATGACCTGAGCCGAAATCAAGAGTCATATGCTTAACCAAATGAGCCACCCAGGTACCCCTATATAGGTCTATTTTGGGGCTCTCTATTCTTTTCCACTGATTTAGGTGTCTGTCCTTTCATCTGTAATACATTATCTTGATTACTATGAATTATAATGAATCTTGAAATTGGGTGGTACAAGTCCTCCAACTTTGTTCTTTGTAAACATTATTTTAGCTCTTCTAGTTGTTTTGCCTTTCCATATATATTTTAGAATCAGCTTGTTGATTTTTGTAAATGTCTGTGGGATTTTAATTGGGATTGCATTAGACCTATAGATTCAGCATTCTTTTAGGGGGGGTGGGGCAGAGAGAGAGAGAGAGAGAGAGAATCTTAAGCAGGCTCCACAACCAGAACCTGATGTGGGCTCAATTTCACGACCCTGAAATCATGACCTGAAATCATTCCCATCAAGAGTCAGATGTTTAACCAACTGAGCCACCCAGGTACCCCTGACCTATAGATTCAGCATTTTAACAATCTTGAGTCTTC